CCTTCATTGTTCCTAAAATTCATTCTTCGATTTTAGAGGATACAAACTCATGTTTCAGATATCTAGGAGGCTTGAGAGTTACATCTATTCCACCTATATCAGTATCATAAAGTTAAAGTGACACAATAACATGGTTGAATTCTTTTTTTCAGCTACAGCCATGGAAGAGGTAGTTTGACTTAACTAAGGTTGTGTTTTTTCCACAAGAAGCCTACAAAACAAGAGTCAGACAAGGATGTTAAGGATATAGCGAGAAACATTACAATAATTGTATTAAGCCAGGTTAGGGAAAAGTGATGGCATGAAGGGAGAAACAGTAAAAAGATGGGAAAATAGTAGGGCTGGCGGATGGCTGGAATTGAAATGGTAAAGGGAATGAGCTAGTACGACAAGAGATGGTGGTCAGAGTGGGATGTTTAAAAGTGAGATTACATTGTAGGAAATGATAAGGCTGGGAGTTTTTTGGGTTTTTTTGTTTTTGTTTTTGTTTTTGGTACCAGGGATCGAACTCGAACTAGAACTCCGGTCCTTGTGCATGCAAGGCAGGCGGCAGAACAGCTGAGCTAAATCCCCGGCCCAAGGCTGAGAGTTATGATCAGAGGAGTAAATGGCCAAGAGAGAGTAAAAAGCAGGATTGCTGGTGGAGAAAAGGTCCAGAAAATGAGCATATTTGGAGGATCTTCTCAGAGGATACTGAAATGTCTAAGAATACCGATGGCAGTAATACTGGAGAAAGTGACAGTAAGGTATTAGCTACAATTTTCAGAAAAAGAGTGAAAGTGACTCAGGAATCATCAGATCACTACAACAAGATGTGGCAGAGGACAGAAAATTGCAACAAAATGAGATAACTGCCTAGGTATTTTGAGGGATGGAAGCAAGAAAAATGATCTGAAAGTAGCAGGGAAGGACAAAGAAGACACCCATGCCACCTGGAAAGTCTAGATGGTAAAAAGGCTTTGAAAATGGTAACAGTCACCCCTTACCAGGGATTTAAAGAAAGCTGGGTCATCCAGGAAACAAAGAAAAGGAAGAGAATCTTCACAGAAAAGGCTGATGACATAAAAAGGAACCACAGTGGCAGGAAGCCTCTGATCTTGGTACATGTATCTTTTGTGGATAAAAAAAAAAAGTGGCTTTTGCATAAATGCTAGCAATAGGGAGGGGAGGAGTAAGGAGCGGGAGAAAGGAGAGGCATACAAGCATATGAAAAGGTACTCCACACTACATGTCATCAGAAACTGAAAACTCAAATAACAATGAGATACTACTACACATATACCCATTAGAATGGCTAAACCCTAAAACAATGGCAACTCCAATGCTAGCCAGGACACAGAACAACAGGAACAGTCACTGCTGGTAGGAATGCAATGGAAGACAGTACGGCAGCTTCTTACAAAGCAAAACATACTCTTGCCACTTGATCCAGCAATATGTCCAAATGATTTGAAAACATGCGTACACAAAAATGTGCACACAAATGTTTATAGCAGCCTTCTGTATAACTGCCACAACTTGGGAGCAATTAATGTGTCCTTCAATACACAGATAAGCTAGAGACTGAACTCTACTCCCCATCCAAAATTCATATGTGAAGCCCTAACCTCCAATATGGCTATCCAGAAAAAGGGTCTGCATCAGGTAATTAAGGTTAAATGGTGTCATAAAGGCGGAACACTAATCTAATAGAATTGTGGCCTTATAAGATGAGGAGGATTCTGAGTGCCACATGAGGACACAGGAAAAAGGGAGTAAGTCATTTGCAGGCCAGGAAGAGAGCCTTATCAAAATCAGAGCATAATGCCATCCTCATCTTGAACATCTAGCCTCTAAAACTGGGAGAAACTAAATTTCTGTTGTTTAAACCATCCAGGCTGTGGTACTGTTATGGCAGCTTGAGCACACTAATACACTATGTAACATCCATCCCAATTAACACTATTCATTGCTAAAAAATAATAAACTATCACAGCCACAAAAAGATATGGGAGGACCCTAAATTCATAGTGCTAAGTGAAATAAGCCAGTTAAAGGAGGTTATATATGATTCCAATTATATGTCAGTCAGGGCCAGGTATTTAACTCAGTGGTGTTGCACCTGCCTTGCAAGCGCAAGGTCCTGAGTTTGAGCCCACAAAACAATTATATGACAGTCCATAAAACTAAGGAAACTAAAAAAACCAGTGGGTACAGGGGAGAGGGCATTCAGGAGGAAGGAAGGAGGGATAAATAGGTGGGGCATAGGGGATTCTTAAGGTAGTGAAACTACCCTGTACAATGCTGTAATGATGGATGCATGTCTTTACATATTTGTCAAAACTTGCAGAATTTTAGTTATCAAAAGCTTTACAGGGCCGGGATTTAGTTCAATGGTTCCACTGCCTGCCTTGTAAGCATAAGGACCCAAGTTCAATCCCCAGTACCAAAAAAAAAAAAAAAAAAAAAAAAAAAAAAAAAAAACACACACACACAAAAAAAAAAAAAAACCTTTGCTTTAGGATTTACATTAAAGATAAAGCTTAATGTAAACTATGAACTTCAGCTATTAATAATCTGTTAATACTAACTCATCAATTGTAACAAAAGTACCACGTTAATGCAAAACATTACCAATGAAGGAATTTTACAGGAAAGCCAGGAAATATATGGAACTATATATGCTATACCTGCTCAATTATTCTGTAAATCTAAAACTGTACTTTAAAAAGTAAGACTATTAAGTACTGAATTAAAAATAAGTATGTGACATTCAAATTTCAGTTTATATAAATTTACTGGAACATGGCCATTCTTACTCATTTATATGGTCTACAGCTGCTTTTACCCTACAACAGAGTTGTGGCACTGCAACAGAAACCACATACACGATCACAATGCCTAAAATATTTACTATATGAATCTTTTCAAGAAATGTTTGCAGTGCCCTGATGTAAACTTTATTACCCAAGTTTTTAAAAAGCACATCTCATCATAGGCTGTTCTGAGCTAAACACTTTATTTAAATTATTTAAAATTGTTAAGAGTCACAAGAAATATTAATTACATAATATAATTTCTAAAATTTAACTGGATAGCTTCTAATTTTTTAAAACATCAAATACATCAGCAAAATATGTGAATATCCTAAACAGCAACTCCCAAAGAAAGAATCCATACATTACTGAGAAACACCAGCATACAATAGTATTACACCCTAGTGCTTGCAAAGCCTACTTACTGAACACAAAAATTAAGGTGTTCAACTAAGAAAGGATTAACAGACTAAAAAGAGAAATCTGGAAAACAGTGTGAATGGAGCACATTCAGGGATGGGTGGGGAAGGATACCTGAGAAAGAGTCAATCAAGCACAACAAAAAACTGAATGCTCTGTTAAAGAATACTAAAAGTCAGGAAAATCCAGTATGGGTATCAGAAGACAAAATATAATAATGCTACCTGGACGTGTCTCACAATTATACTTTAAGAATATCAAAATATCTTGAAAATACAAGAGTCAACTATCTAAATTCTTTTTTTTTTTTTTTTTTTTAATGGTACCAGGGATCAAACTCAGGACCTTATGCTTGCAAGGCAGGCACAGTGCCACTAAGCTAAATCCCCAGCCCAAGACTCAAACTATCTGAGAAAGCAAATCATAACTATCTGACATACTGAAGTAGTCTTGTTAATAACTTAGGTTTCTTAGGAAGAATCTAATCTGTAAAAATTATTTTAGGAAAGCATGGTAGAATAATGACTAGAGGCCAAGGCTGTGGAAACAAACAAACCTGTTCTCCTTCTGCCACTTACTAGCTCTAAGATTCTGAGAACAAATTCTCAGCCTCAGTCTCCTCATCTGTAAAATAACAATATTATGGACTATTATGTAGATTAGATAAAATGACAGATGTAAGGAGCTTAGCAGAATACTTGACAAAAATAGAGTGCTAAATAAATAGTAACTGTTGCTATGACTAATATATATGGCATAAAAAATATACTGGGAATAGACAGCCTGAAGTTTTTCCAGAAAATCTAAAGACCGAAATAAATCTCTCATAGAATGATTTTTTTTTAGAGAGCATAGGCTATTGGAAAATTAAATAAGGATGTCAGTTCAATAAATGGAGTTGAGACTCCACTAAGGGGAAGAAGCATGTTGGTCTGTGGGAAAAAAATTAAGTATCAGTTTCAGGTCTCCCTAAATTCCAAAACTGGCAAATGGTATGGTCTCACAAAAGGACCCATTCATTCAGAGACCTACACATTCCTAAATTTAAATTGGCCCCTAAAAATGTATTAATAACATCTCTTGCAATCAAGAAGGGAATAAAACACTATAAACACATGACAAAGGTTCGTTCTATTCTATCCTTCCTGACCCCAAAACCAAAAAAAATATCCACAACAAGAAAATTTAGAGCTGTATCCGGAGAGCAGCCGGGACATATCAGTTTATAAATGTTAGATCAAAATAAAAAGAGAAGCGAGGTCAAGTTCTTGGATCGTGCTTCTCTGCCAGAATGAACATCTGCCTTAAACTAACAGTGAAAGCTGCGAAATGAGTTTTTGGACACTTCGACCTTCCCTCACACATATCGGGCGCGCGCGCGCGCGCACACACACACACACACACACACACACACACCTCGCTTATCTCACTGCTCAAATCCTACAGCCTGAGAAAATAGCTTGCGGTCTTTTCAGCAGTCACAGTCGTCCTCCCATACGCTTCCTTTCGCCCCACAAAAAGATCACCTGGTAAGGTACTTCCCCAGAGGATAAACAGTGGAACGCGATAGTACTTTTAATTAATACAAAATTTTACTCTCTCTGGCCGGACAGAGGCTGAACAGTTTTACTAGTCGTTTCCAGGACCGTGAAGTGGGGCGACGAGTGGCCTCGCTCCCGAGGTCAGTTTGCCCACACCTGTCACTACAAATGGGCGGAAGTAGGAAGGAAAAAGCCCGTGGACGTGGACCCAAACCTCCCAGGTACATTCGCAAATCCTACTCACCCCAACCTTCATCTGGTCTGTGACAGAGTCCGGGGCTAAAAGGTGACTCCATGGTGCCGGTAACGCCAGCCGGCTTCCCGAAATACACGTCCCAGTGCTCTGGAACTCGGCAATACAGTCAGTATCTGGGACGGCGGCGTTAAGCGGACAAAATACTTCTTACGCTGACGCGACGGTGGCCGAACGAAGACAAACTGTTTCTATCGTAAGAGGGACGTGTGAAAACCCAGCCGAGGAAACGTCAGCGACTAAGCTAAACAGGTATCTGAGTAATTATTTCCATTTTGGAGGTTCAGCACTTTAACTCTCTGTTTTAAGAGGACTGGGGTGGGGGAGGGTTGAGAAAGGCAGACACCAATGAGGTTAAACAAAATTTATCGATAGTGTTAAAAATGAAAAGTAAAACTCCTTTCTGAATATCCTGGTCTGTTCTAATTTTCCTTAATATCGCGGTGACGGTATCTCAGAACAAAATTAAAGAGTAACAGTAATTTTTTTTTAAACCGGGGATCGAACTTGGGTCCTTGTGCTTGCGAGGCATAATTTCCCAGCGATGTAAAAATTTTCCGTATAAACAAGTGAAAGAAAACTTTTTCTACATTCATTAACATTGCCTCTTGATTGGCATGCACAGTATCTGAGGTAAGCAAATTTTAAAATTATACTTTCTAGAAAGTTCACTTTTATGTAAACAAATTTAGACAAAGCAAATATGTAAGATAAACTCCCCAAGCCCATACTTCTGATGATGAATGTCTAAAGCTACTAGTAAAGTGCGAGCAATAATAAAGTTGTCGATCTTTTTTTTTACTAAAATTTTATGATGCTGATTTACTTTAAAGAAATTCACACACACCACAAACTGAAATGTAAATTGAGTTTGATAAAAATAAAGTTTCAAGAATGCTACTTTAAAGAATGATTTTTGATTCTCAGTGTCCGCAGCCAGGGACTCTTTTTAAATAGTCTGCCGTAAGAACACCTATCCCTCTAGGACCGAGTGAAATCTTTCCCATGGTTACAAACAAAACAAAAATGCTTCCCAGAATCCTTCAGGCTCCTCGTGCCTGGATATTACTACGGATTACACCAGACCAAACAGCGTCGGGACCAAAGCAGAGGAAAGAATTTAGGAAATCCCCTTAACGTTAAATGTGACTCCTCCTTCTGTCATCAAATTACTAACAAGTTTTCACTTAAGGCGACGTTTATAACTTTATTCTGGCCCAGCTACCAACTCAAAAATTCACATAAAAACTAAAATCAGCCGGTCTTCTGTATTCACCAGACATCTTAGTCTTTTAAGAAGATGAAACTTTGTTTTCTAAAGATTTTTGTTCAAAAATATCAGATAATTATGAAACAAACATTTGTAAACCTATCAAGAATTTTAAAATATTAACATTTTTCATTTTTGTATGTTTCTTAGTTATGAAATTAAAACATTACAGATAAAATTGAACTCTTCCCTCAATTCATTTCCCTCCTTCTATATGGGCAACTTCTGTCATGAATTTTATAGGCATCAGTCTAGTCCATTTTTATACTTTTATCATGTTTGCAAATGCATATATTTAGAGTCATGATGGGTTTTTTATTTTTACAGAACTGTATCATATTCTAATGTTCTACAAATCACTTTCTCATTTGCCATTGTTTTTTGAGGATCTGCCCATGTTTTAATTGTTACATGGTATTTTCCTTGAATACATATATCAAACTTTCATTTTCCATTTCCCTAATGATGGACACTTGTGCTTTTTCAGTTGTTTATTAGTACATAAAATGTGTCATTATATAGATCTCTTCGGCACAGAAAAAATATCTTTAATATGTATGTTGTCACTTACCAAATTATACTGACCTCATATACCTTCATAGTAATGATGAGTTCTTTTCTCCACATTATCACCAATAGTAAATATGGTCAGATTTTTACAATTTTTATTACTGTGAAGGGTGTAATTATAATTCACATTTCCCTAACAGTTTTTAAAATGTACCTTCTGTCTTGTTTATGAAACTTTATTTCCTCTTCTATAAACTACCCACTCTTTCATAAAGTTTGCTATTTTCTTTCTCTCAATGTGTAGATCTTTTGGTAGCCAACTCTATTCATTGAATTGTTATATATGTTGTAAATACTTTTCCAGATTGACACTTGTCTTTGTGGAGTTTTTGTCCACTAGGTTCTAATTTTAATGTGATCAAATTTATCAATCTTTTGATTTCTGCCCCCCCAAACCCCGGTACTGGGGATCGAAATCAGGACCTTGCGTTTGCCAGGCAGGTGCCAGCACCACTGAGCTAAATCCCCAGCCTGATTTCTGCTATTTTTATCTTAAGAAATCTTTCCCTTTCCTGCAGTTATTAAGGTTTTTTTTCATAGTTCTATAGTTGTTTTTACATGTTTTCTCTGTTTGGTTTTTTGGGTATAGTAACATTACTGATTTTTGTACAGCAATCTTGCACCTGTCGCGAGCCGGCGACGCAGAGCACTGTCCAGCAGTGTCTCAAACCTGAAAGAGCAGCGGGGTGGAGATGGGGCAGAGAGAAAGGAAGGACGCCAAGACAAGAGTCTGATCAAGGCGGCGTTTATTGCCGGCAAGCACCGGCCTTTTAAAGCAAAAAACCACAAACTATTATGGGATGGTTTTACCATAGTAACTGAAAGGTCACACAGGAAAAGAGCAAACAGGTTCACCAAAACAACCCACCGTGAGTAGTAGTAACCCGGACAACCACACATCTAAAGGTCAGAGACAAGAAATTGTAACTTTCAGGAATTCCACAAAGGAAACACTCTACCTGCTAAACTGGAGAAACTTAACACATATGGAGTTACTAGAGTTAACAATACTTACAACCAGTACTCATGATCCCCACAATTCCTCCCTTTTTGTTTTAAAACTTTGGTTCCATAGCAAGAAGAAGCTTAAGAGAAAGTAAAGGCATGTCCGAGCCTGTCTTAGGTTGGGAAAAGCATTTGGCTGTCTTACCCGTCATTGGGGTCATCTGTCTTACAGGCCTATAACATGATGAAGATTTAACAGAAGCCCCTGTCTTAGGTTGATCAGTCAAACCTTTTCCTCTTACCCGTCTTTGACTTTCCGGACCCTCATTGAAGCTATTTTTATCTGAGCGAGGTAAATGCCCAAATTTTCGGAGGACCCTTCCTTAAGGTCCATGAGCGCATGTAATGTTTTGCGCTGTATATAAACCTGATTTGAGATAACACAGTATTTATGATATTTCACATATTAGAGGCCCCATGCCAAAAACATTCAAACTAAGGCTAGTAACTTTGACATCTGACAATAAGCGTATTTCTCCCAATGCAGCAGCAGGTTTCCAAATGTTGGTTTGAGGAAAACGTGAATCTGCTCACCAAAGTCCTACAGACAAGCTTAAGTCCATGGAATATTCGAGTGACCAGTCCAAAAACCCTTGAGATGTCTTATTAATTCACCAGTCCCATTAAATCCTTGTTCTGGACAATAAAGTCTCTGCT